ACGGGTTATTGACAAGATAATTCGTGCGGAGGGCCTAAAAGGGACATATGCATACCTTGACAACATAACCGTATGTGGAGTCACAGAGGATGAACATGACTATACCTTAAGGAGATTGTATGAGACTGCTCGCACGTAAAAGCGCTATTCGTTCTCGAGTGATACGGTTATTGGGGTTTGAAGTTTCAGACAAAACCGTTCGACCTGATCCTGAAAGACTTCAGCCATTACGCAACCTACCAGTACCCACCGACCTAAAGTCTCAGCAACGTATCGTGGGATTGTTTGCTTACTCTTCGTGGATCTCATATATTTCAGACAAAATCCGCCCGCTAGTCGGCAATCGCTGCTTTCCTCCCCCTCCAGCAGTGTGACTCGTTAGAAAAAATGAAGAAAGAAACTGAGAAGTGTTATTGTAACTGTTGATGAATCCATTCCTCTTGTTGGGGAGACGGGTGCTTCTGACATTGTAATCCCGGCTACTCTGACACAGAATGGACGACCAGTTGCCTTTTTTTCTCGCACTTTATCACCTAGTGAGCGACACCACTCAGCGACTGAGAAAGAAACCCATGGCATTGTTGAATCAGTGAGAAAATGGCGTCAGTCTTACTGGGTCTCGATTTACCATTAATACAGACCAGAGACCAATATCCTTCATGTTCAATCATAATCATACAAGTAGAATAAAAAACGACAAAATCCAGCGATGGCGTGTCGAACTTTCTTGCTACGGTTTCGACTTCATATACAGGCAAGGGAAAGACAACGCAGCCGCCGACGCTCAATCACGCGTTTATTCCACATCATATGCACAGGCATCAAATCTTCAAAGGCTACACGATTCCTTGTGCCACCCTGGTGTTACCAGGATGTTGCATTTCATCCGTTCCAGAAATCTGCCTTTCTCTGTAGATTAGGTGAAATCTACGACATCTCGCTGTAATGTCTGCTCTGAATTGAAGCCCATATTTCTCAGACCATGCGGTATCCTTATATAGGCCACTCGCCCGTTCGAAAGGTTCAATGTCGACTTCAAGGGACCTTTACCTTCATCACAGAGGAAGTATCTGTTGACTACTGTCGATGAGTACTACCGATTTTCGCTTGCTTTTGCTCGCACGGACATGTCTGCATCCACCGTGACCGATTGTTTCTGTCAACTATTCGCACTGTTCGGCACGCCACTCTACATTTATTCTGATCGCGGCGCTTCGTTCATATCTGCAGAACTTTAAGCATTCCCTACCGAAAAAGGGATCGTACCCAGCACAAGTACGCCATACAATCCACAAGGAAATGGACAAGTTGAAAGAATGAACGCAACAATCTGGAAAGCCATTACTCTTTCGTTAAAATCAAAGGGTCTTGCTGTACCCCAGTGGAAGTTTGGACTGCCGGATGGTCTACATTTTCTCCGATCATTGTTGCGTACTGCAACTAACACCCCGCTTCACGAACGGCTTTTTCTTATAGTCGGAAGTCGACTTCTGGGATATCATTACCAACTTGGCTCACTACACCGGGACCCGTACTCCTGCTCCGGAATGTGAGATCATCGAAGTATGAATGGCGAATGAATTGGAACTGGTCGATTGCAATCCACAATATGCATATGTTCGTTACCAGGGCAGAAGAGAGGGAACTGTTTCACTGCACAGTTTAGCACCTCCTGGTCAACGTCAATCTGTGCCTCCCGAAAACAACTTACAGACACCCACACCCTTTCGGACACCCACGAAACAATCTGCACTGATAACATTGTGACTGATTCATCCACACATCCATCTTAGGAAGACAGTGACCCTGTTCATACTGAAGACACAAACACACCAGATCCAACACCTCTTCTTCAACAACAGCAAAGAACGCGCCCATACAGCTTACGCAATCGAGAAGCGTAACTATCTTTCAACTGTTGCAGTCTACAATCAAACAGCTGAGAAGAACGTTGTATAATTATCTGATTGTTTTATCATTCTAACGCTCCTCTTTTACCTTCTAGATTACATACCTCAATTGTTTGTTGAACAGAGCCTATCCTTAGTTCTCTGATTCCTCATTCGGAACGCTGTGGCGTGATTCTAGTTTACTACAGTGATTTCCGCTTATTACTTTCATGTTCGGATCTTTTTTACTTCATGCTTCTATTCTTGTTGCCTTTGACTCGACGATGCTGGGAGGTACCAACCGAAACCAGAACACAGAGGCTTGACGTTATTGGTTGAATGAACCGAAACCGATGGATGGTATAACTAACAAAGAAGTTACTCAGCATCTTTGCTTGTGGACAACGACATTATCCGTGGTTCCCATCCCGAAGAACACGATCGGAATCTAGATCGGTTTCCAGAACTGAGGAATTACAGTGTGACGTTTGCTGAAGACAAAGGCTCCATCTTGAGAAAAGTCGTGGGTTTTGAAGCCTTAAATGTGCTTTGTATTTTACTGACTGATGTTCTAAGAACCACCATTTCCATAAAAAAAACCTGTACGTCCAATTAGTAAGTTGATTAAAGACAAAAATACGCCCTCGTCCTTTGCATTCATTTGCTGACCGACGGTTGAATCATGATAACCGTAATCCCGTCCAAGCCGAGAAGTGCCGTGAAGAATTGATTCAGGATACATTTATACGAAGGATACCGTTCAACCATATGCGTTAAAGGCTTACCGAACAGTCCTCAAATCACCCAAACAACTGTATGCTGTGTAGATGGGTCTCATAAAATATGGAGATCTTCGGCTGAACGTGCGCTGTTAGGCGCTCACAAATCCATCCACTTAAATACCAAACACAAAGCGTGCGAATAACTGGCGATAACCAATGAAGAACACGAGAAAGAACCGCGAGTAGCGGCAAACTGTAAGCAGATCGAAGAGACTGTGAAAACTGACGACCGGCGCAAACTTTTTTTTAGTTATTAGAGATAGAAAACATTCACACCACGCGATCAAGCCGGTCAGGAATAGTCACACATGGGAATCATGCCCAGGTAATCTAACCAGAGTCCGACCGTTGATTTACGGTCTAAATTGTGGACAAAGCACCTTGTATAGCTATAAAGATGGTTCGCTTTCATGATGGGAGGACTCACAAGTCAAGGTAAAACATGATCCTGTCCTGAGGAACGAACCCTTATTATCATGCTCATCGGTACATTTTTCGCTGCCTACACCCGATATTCATACAATTAAAACAACACAGAAATGCTTGGTCTAAGCAAAATTATTACCGGAATGGTAAACAGTTAAAGTAGCTCTTTCCATTTCACCAGTCACCAAACAGGGGTTGCTGAGATATCTTGCAAGACAGCCTAGGACACAGATGAACAGTTATCGGTGAGAACATGTATTCACAAGTGGTGGATGGGGAAAGCATTCGGTGTGCACATCAAACGCCCATCACTCGATAGAAAAGTTTTTTAAATGGTAAAGATATACGATGGAAAAACAGGATTATAATTTCCACATGGACTACTAAGTAGTAGCAGCACTCCATTACCTATGTTGAACACAATCTTAACAGCTTTAGTTAGCTGCCATACGCCGTGTCGTTTGTCCCGCACACAGCTCAGCCTTATACTGTTATCCGTCCATTGTCTCTGGTAGTGCAGCGGATCTTAACGGTGTTTGATACGACCACAAGCATAAAAAGAACTGCAACGAGAAATCGGTAAATCTTGTATTTAGTTTGTGAATCAGCATCGATGCATCGTTCAAGAACGTACCATGGATTGTCAAAAAGCACACTAAAAAATGGTGCGCAATCGCAGACACGGGTTAAATGCACTTCCTTGACTGAACCATCCACACGACGGGACATGCGCACAGCCGATCATACCTATGAAACGGCGAACGAAAAATCTGCTCCCAGTCATTATATACTGAAGACTGGAGAGGAATAGGGCTAACACTCCCCCGTGGCAAGCGAGCGTTTCCTCTGAAGAGAACTATACGCAACGGTCCATGCCCGATGAATAAAGCTGATGAAGCTCAAGCAATTCCACTCTTAGAAAGTGAAGACTCATTATGGTACGAAGACTGGACGTCTGCACTGTAACCTCGCTCTACAGTTCCGCACATTTGTTTATTCGTGACTGCCCGAACCAGCGAACGAGGTGCGCCGTCGTGTTGGGCACGTATAACCGTCTTCTTAACGAACTGATTGCTGTAAATCGCCTCCAGGAGCTCGATCATGTTTTGCGAATGCCGACCCATCATCTACCTTTTCATGCTCTATTCGCAAGACTGGAAGATGCGACGCGGCGGTCAGACCATGGACTTAACGTAGATGTATGCATAAGCTAGTAGTAGCACCGGCTTCGGTTGGTGCTTCTCGTCTCCCTGGTTGGGGCCCAAGGGGCGAGGACTGTCGCTGGTTAGAAACGTTGAGGGACATGGCTCAGAATAGAAGTCGGTGGCGAGAACGCTGTGCGGTGCAGACAGACAGAGACAGCTGCCCATCGGACTGTCGTGTCCCACAAATAAAGTCATTCAGACACACAAAATGACAAAATACGCCAACAGACCGATGAAAAAAGAAAAAACCACCAACCCTCTCCTTCGTTGTCCTACTTCCAGGGGAGTCCGTTAATTCCGTAGTCCTTGTTGCCGCGTTTGCACCACGGCTGATTCCAAGCCCGTGTACTATATATACATATATATACATACCCACATATGCGGCGCTCGACTATGGTCTTCCTACGCATCAACAAGCTTTTCGCCGTAAATCTGAATTAAAATCCGCCGCCCAATCCGTACAGGTGATAACAGCAACACTAATCATCGTACCGAACTACCGTAAAATGAGGAACTAGCAAAACCAGCCTGTAAACTAAAACACATGCAACCGCTGGCTTTATTGCTAATATTAATCAAACTGCATTGGGTGGACATTGGTCGATGAACGACGTCTTTCACATAGACAAAGACATAATTTATGTACGCCGAGATGGGAGAGCGGATGGGAAGAGGCGAGCACAAATATCACAACTCACCTCATCCGTCGTTTGGTTCATTTTGAACCTTATCTGTTCCAACTCAGTCATTGGTACTTGCGGGTCGTCCATCTCTAGCAACTCCTCCGGAATATCCAAAAAAACCGCGGCGCCTCCGATATCCGCTGCGAAAAACTGTTCAAGCTACGTTCAGTTCGGTTCACAGGAGGCGTACGACAAATCATCAGAAATTTTCAAAATGCTTGCACTGTGATCTTGGATCTCCCAGTGCTGTGGTAGTGGATGGGGCCCGCGGCGCGCGTGGTTCAAAAATCTCGCTGCCTAACGTTTGACAAATATCTTATGGCGGAATCTTCCATGATATTCGAGCTAAACGGACTGCTACAAAGCTGAACTTTGTCTCACTGTCCATCCACCTATCTTCCAGATCACCGGCAATACAAGACGCAAGCTGACGTCAGTATCCGTGTTCTGAACCCTTTAGCCTTGCCCAGTGATCTACTTTTCAGTTCGCAGGCAAAACCAGATGCAACACTGTCAAGATTCGTATTTTTAACCCTTTCCCTTTTTCTCATTTCCCTTTTATCCGGTGAACAATCTTACAGTTCCTGCTGACATTCAGATAACGAGATAATCCCCAGGCCCGGGAACATTTGGGCTTCAGCCTCTTACCCACGTACTAACACTGCTTGTTGGATTTTTGATCCAAAAGACAGAATCGGTCGGGCAGTGCTAACTTCACAGACAAGTTTATTTACCGAACTGAACTGCGGTACACCAGCGGTGCGGTCGTCTCCCTCGGTGAGTGTAGCTGTTTTTGAAATTTTTAGAACACACAGCTCGTCCTCCTCCATTTAAGTTTATCTTTATCTGTGCTGACTGGGTCCTGAATAATGTCAATGCCCCCACCATTGATATAACCGCTTGCTCAGATGAGGCTACTTTCCCCATGAGGCAGTGCGATTCCCCCTCCGTGGCCAATGCCTCACTCCTCAATCCGGACGAAACGGTCCTTCATAATGCGCTGGCAACGGATGCACTAAAATGTGCAGTCCAAAGTCAGGCTGCAGAGATAGCCGAGTTAAGGGCCACCGTCCACACCCTTAAGGATGAGCTGTCCAGCCTGAGGAGTTTGGTAATCAAATCCCTCCCGGTGTCCCAGGCAGCCGATCAGGTTTGTAGAGTTTCTGAGCAGCAAATTCTTGACGCCGCCAAGATTTTACAAGATACCGAGAATTGCTCCAAGCGAGTCATCCTTTGGGGCCGCTTCCTCAGTTCAGATCACCCTCATGACACCTACGCCCAGGTGTTTAACCGCCTTAAGCTCCCTTTCCCACTTAAAGGTCGGTCCACTTGGTTGGTAACCAAACGCACCAACCGGGTTCACGGTATTCTCATTGTAATGGGTTCCACAGATGCAGCCAAACGAATTGTTTCCTTGGCCGCAAAGCTCAAGGAAGAAATTAAAGGGCTCAAGGGCGTATCCATTGATAAGCCACTTCATCTGAGGCTCCGCAGTGAGAAGGCTAAGCCAAAAATTGCACAGAAAGCTTATCCTAAGCTCAGAGTGCTGCCAGTTGTCCAGGTAACTCGCCTTGAGGACCGAGCTACATGCCCACCATCCCTCGCTTCCCTACTGACACCATTTCCCGTCGCCGAAAGTACTCCCAGTAGTAGGCCTAGTGCCACTAAACATCTGTCGCCTACGAAAAGCATCCCAGGCCCCATCATAGCCAACAAGACTGTTTCAACGGACGAGACTCACTCATCCTTGAGCCCAGACATGAACCTGCAACGTGTTTCTACTGAAAGAAGCAGTGAGGAGGTTAAAGCACCAGATAATATATCTGGTGCTGTCATGAAAAATAAGCTCACCAACAAGAGAACTCAGAATAGGGCATCAAGCAGTGCGCAGAAGGGCAAACCACAAAAGGCAGCCCACCCTTTTCGGAGACCGAAGGATGTAAGCCGTCCACCTGGATTGATACCCCCCAGGTTACTAGACATCAAAACCTACCGGTCCCCCCAGCAGTCTGCTTACCCTCTAGCCCCCCAATATCTTCAGCCCCCGACTCTCCCAGGACCTCCTTTCCATCCTCAAATCCCCCTCTTTCCCCCTCCTCAAACCCAAAACCAGCTGCCTCTGGCGATTCTGCAACAACTCCTGAGCATGTGCTCAAGTGTTTTTACAGCAATTGCCTGAGTGTGTTGAATAAGATCCCGGAGCTTCGGCAGCTTGCAGTAGATAAGGGGCCTCAGATCATAGCCCTCACAGAAACCTGGCTCACCCCTGGCATACTTGATGCCGAAATATCCATTCCGGGATACTTCACAGTAAGGCGGGACTCCAGTAGAGGTCGTGCCGGCGGGGTCATCATATACAACGATAATTCGATCCCTCCTCCCACCCTACTGACAACACCAACCTTTTCATGTATTGATTGTCTGTGGGCCGTGTTTAACCTCTCTAGGACAGATACCCTATTGCTTGGTGTTGTCTACCGTCCTCCCGCATGCAATTCAACTGACAGCATAGGTCTCATAGACTTATTAGGCTCCCTGAAAAGCTACACAGACTTCACCCATCTGTTAGTCACTGGTGACTTCAACTCTCCCAGTACAAACTGGCAAAGAGCTGATGCCCCGGATATCACTTTCGGTAAACCCCTCCTTGATCTCGTACTGAAAAACTCATGGGTGCAGAACGTAAGAGATCCGACTAGATATCGCACAGGCCACGCCCCGTCCCTACTAGACCTGGTCATCACCAACGATCGGTTCCTAATAGATGTGGTGCATTACTTGCCGCCCCTCGGCAAAAGTGATCACATTCTCATTGGATTCGATTGTATCGTGAAATGGCCTCCTCTTCCGTCAGAAACTAAAATTTTGAGATCCTTCAAAAGGACCAACTTTGACCAAGTCCGTGCATTTTTTCGCTTCCAGCTAAATTTAACTAACCCAGGCAACTCTGCTGATGAAATTGCAGAGAATCTCAGAGAGTTAATCTCCTTAGCTGATAGGCTTTTTGTCCCCAGAATTCGTCGCCCACAGACCGCTAAGCGACCCCTCCCTCGCCCCATTAGGCGCATTCTAGACGAACGCGCACGCCTCTTTGCTAGATATAAAGCCACAGGCCTTGCCCGTGATGCAGAAGACTTCAGGATTATAAGGAACATATGCAAAGACAAGATTAGGTCCTATCAGAATGCAGTCCAGCGATCTGTACTTGATCGAGCACGGACCAATAAGGCATTTTTCTTTCAGTACATGCGCCGTCTAAGGGGCACAGCTCCGACGCCATTAGCTCTCAAAGATAGTGCCGGATCTCCAATCACTTCCCCTAGCCAAGTAGCCGAGGCATTCAGCTCCTACTTCCGTACAATTTTTAGCTCCTTTCCCATATCATCCCACCCTACTATGCACCCGTTATCTTTGACCACTACCCTTAACCGCGTAACTATTCCCATTGGTGCAGTCGCTCAAGGTTTCCGACGGCTCAACCAATATTGCTCTATGGGTCCTGACCTAATCCACCCCCGTATTCTCAAGGAAGCCGCGGATACATTAGCTGCTCCTTATGCCTCGCTTTTTCAGCGATGTGTTGACGATGGAGTTTTCCCCCGTAACTGGAAAAAAGCAGTGATCGCACCCATCTATAAGAAGGGTAGTAGACACCTTGCTTCTAGTTACAGACCCATAAGCCTCACTAGCATCCCTAGCAAAATTTTTGAGGGAATTCTTAAGAGTGAGATTCTTTCCCATCTTCATAGAAATAAGATCCTCTCCCCGTCCCAACATGGGTTTCTTCCTGGCAGGTCATGCATCACCAATATGCTTACTGTCATGGATAGTCTAACTAAAGCCTATGATGATGGCCAGCTCTCACACGCTGTGTTCATCGATTTTGCTAAAGGCCTCCGATAAGGTCCCACATGCCCCTCTTCTCTATAAGCTGCAGACGTACGGGATCACAGGCTCCATGTTGGCCATCCTACGTAGCTTCCTTACCGACCGCACCTTTGTGGTTAAAGTCGGGAATGTTTTGTCTCAACCCTCCCCAGTAACAACTGGGGTCCCCCAAGGCTCGGTCTTAGGTCCTCTTCTTTTCCTGATCTATATAAACGATCTACCGACAGCCCTTCCTGTGAACATTGCCATGTACGCAGATGATGTAACTCTCTGGAGTTCAAGCGTTGAAGACCTGCAAATTGCAGTTTATGAAACAAAACGCTGGTCCGAGGATTGGAACCTCCCAGTTAATGACGACAAATGCGTGAGCATGTCTTTCGGCAGAGAGACTGGTCACACGTTTCCCATTAATGGAGCAGCCACTCTGCCAAGGGTTGACCGACACAAGGTGCTCGGTTTCTGGTTAGATTGTAACTTATCCTTCTCTCATCATCACGAACTTGCGAGCAAGTCTGCCTTTCGAGTTCTAAACATGATTCGAAGGTCCTTCCCGCGCATATTTAAGGATGATTTCCCCATAATTTTCGGCACTTATATCCGACCTCTGCTGGAGTACGGTAGTCAGATAGTGCACTCTGGTCTTGTCCGAGACCGTGAGATCCTAGAAAGAGTTCAGTGGGCCTCCACCAAGGCAGTAAGTGGTCTATCCCATCTACCTTATCCCGTCCGCCTCTCACTCCTCAACCTCTATCCCCTTGACGTAAGACGCGTAAGAGGTGATCTGTTTTTGATGTTTCACCTTTTTGAAACAGGTCAAAGCGATTACTTCTTCTCCGTCTGTCCAGCCTCCTCTCTCCGTGGTCACAGCAGAAAAGTTTTCAAACCGAGGCCACGCACTTCACTAAGGATTAACGTTTTTAGCTATAGGGTTATTACCATGTGGAATGCACTTCCGGAAGATATTGTTCTCTCGCAGGACAAAACTATCTTCAAGAAAAAGCTAGACCTCTACCTGGGTCTCTCCCAATAATTCCCTTTTTCAAAAAAAACAAACAAAATAGTTGTCTTTTATCGCATATATGTTCATGAATGCCGCACCCCCACTCAGCTTAAGGCACTGTACACAGTGTGACACTGAATGAGGTTATATGTATCTTGTTTTCGCTGCCACCCCGCCCCCCCCCCGCTTCTTTTTACTC